AATATGAAATGGTTTTTTCAACAAACTAGGAAACGGAACATTTCCGAAGCTAAGAGAATATTTAAGGATTATTATCGCTGGACGTTAGTTACTGCCCACTGTAAATTTTTAATTTTAATTCTATTAAAGTACAATTGTTATCGCGAGAATATTTCCGAGCACAATGTAAAGAAATTGTTTGCTTGCCAGGCGAGAAATGCCTACGGCTACTCTAATTCAATCTTTTTTCAGAGCACTCGACCATGCACGCACGCATACGTACGTGTACCACGTTACGAAGTACATCATGAAAAAAAACGCAGCTGCAAGCCGAAACTGTACGCTGTGGCGAACAACAAATCCCTCACGGAATTTTGGATTCAATTTACAGCGAGTTGCAATGCCCCGTAAAGCTCGAATTCGTTCATTGGATATTCATCCCCTTCCCTCTTATTGCGTGCTTGCGATACACAGTATCTTCGATCGTCGACGAAGAGATGTCTCTACGTGTGTGTATGCATTTACGCATTTGATTTAATAATATAGGCAAGACCTAAATACTCGTCACACTAGGCTGCAGATTTTATGCAAATATAAGAAAATTGAATGTGCAAAAACGATAAGATCGTGGTTCAGGATATCAACAGCTGAGTGTATAATAACGTTTAAATAATCAATCAAATATTCATATCAAACATCGTTCAAACTGATACGATAAATACCTTATTTTGCATAAAGATCCGCAGTCTATGATATTATTTTCTGATAATTAAAGAATATTGTTACGCTCTCATTTTCGTCATGAAATTCTTCTATTTTTTAGATCTTTTGTTATATAAAAAGAATAATAATTGCCTTAGTTGCTTTGATAATAATAGGTAACATCTATTTTCACCATACACACGTAATTCAAATTCCAAAAGCTTTTAAGGCAAAAGAGGCATTTTTCATATCCGTAATACACATACTACATGGTTCTGAATGCGTGTGATTACAGCATGGCACACGATTTGCAAAAAAAAAAGGAAAAGGGATTGCGCGACCGCTTTCACAGCCCAAAATCATCAATTCATCGCTTTTTATTAACGGAACGTAACTATTGTTTACAGGCCTGCATTCATTGCAGTTTGGATCATTCGTTAATCTCCAATTTCAAATCGCCATTCAAACATATGTACTATTTTTTCATCGGGCAATTCGCTAGACCTTTTATTTTGATTATGTGCACCTTATTCGATGCTGTCTACAATTAATACTACGCTCGGCTTGATTTTTATAATTTCACATTTCCTCTCTCTTTTTACATTTTTCATTACTCTTTACTCCTTGATGACTTCGTTCAGCGATCATTAGATCAGATTGATCGATTCACGCTATGTCCTTGAATGTCGAAAAACCATCTCCTGTCACTTGGTGAAAAGAGAGATGACCTCAGATCTTGCGTAACCCACATTAACTGCGTCCCCTCGATGCTACGGGCGATTCGATCCGTTTCGTTCAATCGCTGCAACCTTCTTCGTCACGGTGACTTTCTCTCGAACGATGGCGATTATGCGTGCGTGTTCGATGCAGCCACATTGTTACTTGAATCGGAAAGTAATCCGATCGCTATTATTTACAGATGAACGCGTTTTTAAATCGAGATTGCTATATCGTGCTATTTTCTTTATTCGAAGAATCAATATTTTACGTAACACGATCAATGCTAGTGATTTATGAAATTAGCCTAGGGTCGTAATCGATGGTGCAACGATCGTAAAGGATTACCCCATCGCACATCTAGCTCGGATACGTAATAGCTAGCGTTTATCAGTTGCACGATTATACGTAATTATCTATTTAACCTTCCGACGGATAATTTAGCCCAAGCTCGAGGGATTTAATTGGTTCCAGTTAAGTATCGTATCCTTGAAAACGAAGCGTATTCGCTGAGGATAGGTTCAATTTCATTGTCCACGAATGGATCGGATGACTCGGAAAACGTTTCTATACACTCGAGGAGTTACATCTCTTTTAACACCTATGCGTTTTACAATTTAATAACTCAAACGTGACCACGATGGATGTTTTACAGCTCTATTAGCGTTTGT